AACCAACCTGCAAGCATGCATCATCACTCCACAGCCATCTGAAATACCTCTGGACACTTGTTTGGACGATTATACGGAGGCACTATATGAATTGCCCACTTATTTTCAGTTTATATAAGAACTACATGTATAAAATCAAAAGTTACAGATGACTACAAATCACACTACAGCATTGGCTTTAGTCTAAACTGAGAAATAACTGTTTCTGCATTTAGCTGTTGGTGCTAAGAACTAAAGTCTCCATTCTCAATCGTGGACTTACCCAGAACGTCAGAGGTGTTGACCTGCAAGATGAGCCAGCTGTGTCTCTGCTCGGCATACGAGCCAAAAATGGTGAAGATGGTGCTCTTCTCTCCGGGCTCCGTCAGCAGCTGGTAAACGTACACTTCCTTTTCTGAGAACCGAAAGTCGGTCCACGTCTCGCCTTCATTGGTGCTGAACCTGACAGGGGCGTGGTTTTATTAATGACCGTATCTTCTAAATGTGTTTGGTAGCAGCCTCTCACGTACTGTCGACTAAACATAACTGAGTAATGTTTGATCACCAAGGTTACCAAGTTATCAGCTCATCTGCTGCATGCCCACTCACTCACCGAGGGAACAACAGCGAGACAGAGAAGACGATCAGATGAAACAAACAAACACGAGTTAATATCAAATTGAAGTGGGAGCACGACGTGTATTAAAAGTCGGGCTTAACCCAGTAATAGCGACATTTGTATGTATGAAGGTAAAATTGGGTTACTGAGTAATCAGGGAAAGATGAAATGAATTATGGAAATGAAGCCAACTGGATACATATTGGTATAATACATCACTTTCATGAATTAAAGTTGGCTGCGAGGTAGGTGTTGGCACAGAGGTGTTTTAATCTCGTTCTGTTTATTAGTGGAAGGATTATTTGCTGTTTAACTCCAACAGGCAGCTTCACATTCACACAGTCTGCTCCTGCTGGCTAATGGGCACAACCACACGGTAGGCGCCGTTTATGTGCGCCGCCTGCCAGATTTCTTAAAGCTGTCACAAGTTAACCTCTCTGGGTTTGAAGCTCCTGTCCGATTCATTTCCTCGGCTAGAGGAAGTTTAGGAAAGCCATCTGGACTTACTTCAGTTGTGTGGTGGGGCCTCCTTGTGCAATAGCCATCAGGATGCCGCCGTGGTCACCCCAGGTGTAGAAATGAGGGCCTGCCAATGCCTAGATTACCACAAGCAGTGTCAGTGAGACATAATGTGCTTCACAGGGTTGAAGAAATTTAGTGTAAAGACATCAGTGCTGTTGTGTGGACTAAACGGTAGAGCTTTAAGTGACGTTCATCTAACAAACAAAAGATTCCCAGGTTGATCCCGGAGGGGGAGACACGTGTCAGATTCCTCTGACGCATAAGGAACCTGATTATAGTGATGTGTCTGATGTCAGGTGGCAATAAAGCTACTTTAGTGCCAGCTCTAAATAATCAAAGTCTTAACAATCCCCATCAATCTGCTACTAAAATCAAGGACAGTAGAGTATGAGACTAATGAAGCACTAATTACTTTTGAAAATATCATCATGTCCTTTGAACACTAAATGAATTAACAGTAACGTCCTTTCATGACATGTGGGCATGAGAACATCAGTCGTCAGCTGAATAAAGCTCGACCTGTCTACAGGACTAAGCCTGAATGTTGACATTTTCTTTGACACACAGTTTAGCCGTCGCCACTGTTCTTGTTGTTCTCAAACTCTGCACTGACCTCTCTCCACTGGGCTCCAGCGCTGCTGGATACATACACATTGGGTTTGTTGGCCAAGTTCCTGCCAACAGATCCTGCAATCAGAAGACAGAAAAGGCCTTTAACACACTCGGACTCCATATGATCGCTGCTTTTGTAACTCCGGAGTTTAAGCCAGAGCATTTTGAATCTTTTCATGCGGCATTTGTATCTGCTGCAAATGAAATCCTCCAGGATCTGCTTAGAACATTTTATAAAATACACAATGAAAATAAAAAAACTATAAAACATAAGGATGCTTGAATCCGCCTACAGATGCTGAGATCCATCTGTAGTTCTGGAAACATCCACTAGGGAGCCAACATTTTTGTCCTGTGTTGGGGCATTGTTCTGATACTGAGTGTCACTAAAGTTAAAAATTATACTTTCTAATTAAAATCATTAGAAAGTTAAAATAATTATCTGCTTAGCTAAAGGCATTAGCTATTATTTAAAATGTAGCATGCTAGCTTTATCAGCAACACAAGCAATGTGACTGCTAATACAGGCTACGTCCACACGTACCCGGGTATTTTTGAAAACGCAGATTTTTCTATGCGTTTGCACCTTTCGTCCACACGTAAACGGCGTTTTCGGTCACTGAAAACGGAGATTTTTAAAAACTCAGTTTTTGCGTTTACGTGTGGAGGAGACAAACGGAGAAAACGCAGCGTCAAAGGTGTGCGCCTTTTTTGACGTCACACTGTGCGCCACGTTATTGTTTCGGTGAAATGAATTTCTACAATACTGTTACTGTTAATTGTCTCTGCAGTGTTTAAATGCTTACATATACACACACAGTTACTGTCCCGACTCGGTTCTGCTTCTATGTCCCAGCTTTGTTTACTTTTTCCCACCGAGGCTTCTAGACTTCTGATTGGCCAATATTTCTGCACGGTTAGGAATATAGCGCCACCTGCTGCTTTGGCATGTTCCTCACACAGCTGCTACAGCAGCAGCACTTTTTACTGTTTCTTTAGATAACAACTGCAGCTTTATCACAGTTAATAACGAGGAAGCAGAGATTAGAAGTAGATTTAGAAAATTTCAATGTGAAAAAAAATGTGAAGCAGACTGAAAATACTTTTTTACGCCTTTTTACACAACGTTTATTTGCTGCAGCGCTCTTACACATTTGCATGACAGGTAAAATTTACTTTTACTACTAGTTTGGAAGTTGGGAAGAAATTTTTATATCTTCGTCCAAATGCCCTCCAACATGCGTGTTAGTGTATCGCCCATCTATCCATCAGGAAAAGGATCAGGACCATCATTCTCTGTGTTTGACACTCGAGAACAGACAACAACCGCTCAGGACATCAATCACATTGAAATATTTGTGAATGACAGAAGCACAGATGAGAACGAGAGCAGCATGGCTGATGTGTCTCTGCTCAGGGCTGTAATGATGCCTCTGAAATGAATTTGGTTCTTTCTCCCAGAAAAACGGGCTGATGACACTAAACATTAAATATCATCACAGAAAGTGTCAGAGAAACAAAAATAGCTGCTGATTACAGCATCCTGCATGATGTCTGCGACAGAAACACAGTGGGCTCTAAATCAACCAATCAATTTGTGATTTAATTAAAACAGTTTTACTATAGTTTTACACGACCTGTATAAGAAGGATAATTTTATACACATTTTCACAGGTTCAGCATTAATGTGAGAACTGAATGACAAACACGACCTGCTCTCTTTTTGTTCCACCACAGATGACTTTTTGGTCAGTGATGCAAAACCAGTGACCTTTGTAGCACCAGTGCTATAAGCCAACACAGTTAACGTACAGTCCTGCGCGCAGACACACACACAAACACAGAAACTCATTAATATGAACACAAACCAAACCCAGAAGATAAAACACTCGTTTTATCCTATTAACATCACAAATCCTTTCAAAAAAACAGAATAAAGGTCATTTTTTATGCCTTTGTTTAGATTGCATATATATATTTATTTTATTTGACTTTGACTGTACAAGGAGCTGGAGCACTTCATTATTTTAGCATGAAAGCACCACGAGGTAGAGGCTTTCCTCGGAGACGGGAGGTTCCCCAGCATCACTTCTTTGACCCTGACCTCTGTAGGAGACCAGATTACGCCTGGACTCTGGCATGAGCTCTGATTATTGTTGCGTAGAAGACAACTGCAATGAAAACCGCTGGAGATTTAGGACAGCAACAACTGAATATGGATTTCAATCCCACGAAACTTGATAAAACCTGAGCGTAACGATGACCTCGAACAACTAATGAAGGTTTTAACAGGACCGCAAAGCAGGACCAGCTGGTCAGCTTGATTAAATTGATACTGGACTGCAGACCAGTGCATTCCACCCTTGGAGGTTCCCCAGCATCACTTCTTTGACCCTGGACTCTCCAAGAGTTCCCCTTACATGGACGGGAGGACATGGGAATAAAACCCTGTGATCTTTGTTGTTTGTGTTGCCAATACTCGAGGGGAACTGGCAATTCTTGTGAACATTATTTTTAAAAGCCTTAAAGAAAGCCACCAAACAAATACAGTCTTGAACTTCAGTTCGGCACAAATCCATCACATAATCACTGCGTCGAGGTCTAACCAATATCAAAGGGAACAAATATTCCCGGGAATTACTGTGGGACAGTCATTCCTTGTACACCATGTTAACAGAGATAAGGTGGATACAAAATATATCTTAAATAAACCAGCCTTCAACTCATTCTTTAAACATACTTGTTGCCGTCAGAGCTACTTGTCAGCCTCTCAGCTCTTACACCTGTGGTAGGAGTCTGCGTACTTCCAGGAAAGCCTCAGAATTTCAGTAGCTGCACCTGGTGTTGATTTGAAATTTCTACATCGCCTTGTTCTGGAGTTATCGCATTCATTGGGTGTCCAGATTAAATCGCACCTGTGCGAGTTGTCACACGATTTTCAGAAAACCTGGCCTCTGACATCATCAAGGTCACTAAGATTTGAACACCTGGTGTCAATTTCTATCCTATTTCAGTCCTATTTCACCTCACAAACTCACAAATCTGCATGACCACCACCTGCCTGGCAGAGTGAAAACAACCTGTGCCCAGCAGGGAGGGTAAAACGATCCGAGAGTTTTCCAAGGTAAAGAAATGAGATATTCTTCAGGGTGTTTGGTTGTGTACAGCTGCAATGTTTCTGTGTTAACTTTAAAAACGAGGTGACTTTCGCGATAATTTTAAAGAGGAATGCACAACTTTGTCATTTAAAATTCAAACTTCAATCAAACTGTTGTGTTTCATCTTGATTTGATCATTTTTTGATTTATTTAAATTTTCACATGGTGTCTGTTATTCTCTGTGTTTTTCTTGGTTTCGTCAGTGTTTTAAAAGTCTGACTGTTTACTCTGATAGTTTATGCTTTTTCTAAACATTATCGTGTTTTATCTCAGTTTTTTTTGTTCTTTTGGTTTCTCTTGATAGTCTTATGTGTTTTGTAGACGTGTTGTGTAAATGTTCCTGCATGCATTTTAAATATCATTACAATATCTTTTCTTGTATTAAATAAATTGAACTACAAAGACAATAACAGACCGACCATAACTGACACCAATGGAAGCCAACAATAAAACAATGAGAAACTTCGACAGTGAAACCGGACAGATGGAGGCGGGATCCAGGTGGGATCCAACATCATGATTCCGAACCAGGAAAACTGCGACGGTTTCACGTGAGGACTTTGGGCTTGGAGACGTACCCGATGTCACTGAGGTGGTTTTAATGTTGGTGTATACTCACAACAGACTAATCAATGATATTTAATATTTTGTAAATAAGAAGTTAAACTGCATGAACTAAAGTGTTTCCTGTGGTGTCGTGCACGTTCATCCCTGCACTCAGGACTGTGTTTGACCCGTCAAGTGCCCGCCGGCTGCTGCAGCAGTAATTAGCCCATCTATCTAAGAGAGCGATAATGAAGCACATGGTGGCAGCAATTGGCAGTGCTCCTTCCTCCTTCTCCGCTCACCCTCCCTTTTTCTTGCATTCTTTCCATGCCCATCATCTAATAAGAATTTAATTAAAGAGACAGGCTGGTTTCTCCTAAACACTGCAGAGTATCAACAAATCAGTGCTCTCGACCAGCTGTGACGAGGCAGAGACAACTCAAACTGCAGCACTGACATTGTTTCCACTTCGCTCTGAGGAATTCATCAGAATGGAACATGTGGTAACAGTTTTCACATCATTTATGTCTTTGAGATTTAAATTGCAACTGTGTAACTGTAATGAGGAGCGGGACAGATGTTTCAACAATGATGCATGAAGCAAGTTTCTAACACATATCTCACAAGGTGCAATCCTATTTCCTGTGTCTTCAGCAATACAGGAAGTGGCCACATACTAAGAGAGACAGAAGCATCTCAAACATCACAGACTCGTTGCCTTGCACTGGATATTTGAATCAGTGTTATCATAAACCAAGAGGAAGTTACTGAAAAGTACAACAAGCCATCCTCCAACAGATGGCACTGAAACTCTCCTCATCTAGCTCTTAGGCTTTCGTCAAAGCTCTGGGACATTTCTTCCCTGTTCACAACAACCCCAGAGGTTTCTAGTAGTACAACTATAATTTGACTCGAGTTTGAAAGTTTAAGGTCACCATCTGTAAACTGAGTGTGAGACAAAAGTGTTAGACCCATTAAAATCTGTCAATGTTTGACTGCTTGTAGTCTACGTCCTACACAGGAAGGTCGAATGAGCTGGGGGAAAGAAATCTATTCATAATGAGGAATCCATGAAATCAAGAAAAACTTCCGTGTTATCCCACCTGTGGCCATAATAAGTCCAGGTGCAGAATCCTTGGATAAAATGGGTATTCTCCTTAGCTGGATGTTAAACAACTGGCTCCAGCGCTGAGCCAGGTGAAGGGAGCAACCTTTACTGAGCTACAAGGGAAAAGCAGAGGAGAGAAAAGTTAGATGACACTTAGCTGTTCAATTCACAGGATTCATATCTACAGATTTGAGCTTTTCTGCGACATCAGCAGTTCACGTTGGGGGATTGAATCGTACCCTAAGATTCCTGCTCGTGGTTAAACTTAGCTAACACTAGCATGCCCGCTAACACGAACGATTCAATTCATCCATCCATTCGCTTCCGCTTATCCTTGTCAGGGTCGCGGGGGGCGCTGGAGCCTATCCC